GTTGATATTATACCACTTTATTTTAAATCCTGAGATTCCTGACAATACTCCCTCCGTTCCTTAATTAGATTCCTACTTCTGAATTTACACTAGAATTAAGGAACTTGGAGTATCCATAAAACCCATGATTGGGAAGTACAAAGGGAATTAAAAAACATTTATTGCTGTCTTTGAATAAAACAAAACAGAATGAAATTAAATGCTACACATGTCAGCAATCCTTTTAGAAGAAAAAGGACCAATCACATTTGTTTATGAAAAATAAAAGGACCAATCAAATTCATTTAATATGCTGCACATGGATAATCGAAGAACATGGAGGAGAGAGAAAAAAAAATTTCTATGCAACCACTAAATGCCAAAAGCAAAAGTAAACTGATTTAGTGACAATTTGGGGACATTTTGGGGAATAAATTTGGAGAATAAGGATAATTTGGTAAAAAAAAACCACTTACTAAAAAAGGAAATAGGCATCTAATTTTGAAACCCTTAAAAAGGAAACTAGTATAGGCATCTAATTAAAGGACGGAGGGAGTATTGTGTTTTATACATAAGTAAAAAATGATGGTTAAAGTTAGTGTCTATATAGTGAAAAAAGGTCAAATGCGTCAATTATTTAGAATAGGAGAAAGTATTATTATACTCCGTATAAAGTTACAAAGGAACTCTACTACAATTAATTTGCCTCATTTTATTTTTTACGGTGTTTAAAACGCGCCTTAAAACACATCATATATCTCTATTTATGTATAAAAAACTTGACAAAATATTAATAATATACAATAATGAGATTCCAACAAGAACTCACATGGCTACATTATACTCCATATGTATTATAGACTAACAAGATTTATAGTCAAATTTTTTAAATTTGACCCAAATATTGACAATGGGCAAACAATAAGGAATAGCATAGAGGTAGTATAAGTTTTAAGAAAATGGATAACTTTCGAATAGGTTTCTTGAGGTCTGACATTTGTTACGCTGTATACAGTTTCTATAATTTCATTTTGGTGCCCTAAGTTTTCAAACTTTGTTTCACTATAGTGCACTTGATAATTCTATATATTTTGATGTCGTAAGTTATATACTACCTCTGGTTTTTTGTTTAAGTTGACACGTTTTGAGTTTAGCACTATTCACACACTTTTCTTTTGATTGATTGTGTTTTCTGATTTATACGTAATAAAAATATAGTCATGTGAGATCTTGTTAGATTCGTCACGATGCATATTTTCAAGATATAAACTTTTTAAATTTTTGCTTATAGGTAATCAAAGATATTAATGGTTAAATTTGTGCATTGACAAATGTGACTAAAAGAAACGTTTCATCTAGAAGAAACAAAGAAAGTACCTTTTGCACTTTAATTTGTTGTCATGAAATATGTATTAATGCTAGTTTTTGTAACAGAAATTTATTAGTCTTATTTCATTGCACATAATTAATTGTTTGTTATTAAAATGAGCTTTATAAATATATAATTTATAAAGTGAAAAATAAAATTTACATAACAGGGCATCAAAGTGGAATTACCAGAGCATAGGTATACCATAGTAAAAACAAAATATAGAAGTTTAGGGCACCAAAGTGGAATCACAGAAAACATAGGGCACTAAAATAAAATGAAATTATATCAAACTTTGGGGTACCAAAATGAAAAATTCTCCAAAAATTTTGATATTCTGAAAATATACATTAGGACGATTTTAACAAAGACTCATATATGTATGTTTATTATTATACTACCCCCGTTAATTGTTTTGTGCAACTTTTGCCATTTTGGGATGATCAGGGTTATGTGCAACTCTCTGTTTTTTTTCCTTTTTTAGTAAAAAAAACCCTAAAAATTACATATTTACCCTTACTTAAAAACTCTAATTTTCTGATTTTTACCCTTATGTTATTTTAATTACATTAACCTTTTTTAATCTAATCTAAAACCATGAACTTAATTCTACCCACCCCATCTACTCTACTCATCTCCTAGTTTACCCACCACCTCTTCATCTTTTTCACCTTCACCCTCTTCATCTCTTCCATCTCCCACCACCATTCTCCTCTTTCACGACCACCGCCCCTCCCATCATCATTCTCTCTCCTCCTTCACGACCACTGTTTCTTTCACCACCATTCTCTCTCCTCCTTCATGAGTCACCGCCCCTCCCACCACCATTCTCTCTCCTCCTTCACGACCACCACCCCTCCCACCACCATTCTCTCTCCTCCTTCAAGACCACCTTTCATCCCACCACCGTCTTTCTCCTCCCTATGACCACGGCCCTTAGCTCCCACCATCGCTGTCTCTCTCATCGAATTTTATGGGTTTTTTGGGTTTTTTTTCGATTTTATGGGTTTCGATTTACTGGGTATTGATTTTATGGGTTTCGATTTTATAGGTTTTGTTTTTATGGGTTTTGATTTCGATTTTCAGGGTACATGGGTGGTGGGGTGGTCTGGGTTGGTGGTGGAGGGGAAGGTTAGATTTCTGGGTTTTCGGGAGGGTGGTGGTGGTTTCGTGGGGGTGGTAGTGGTTTCATGGGGTTGGTAGTGGTGGTGGTGGTGAAGGCGACGGTGGTGTTGTTGAAGGCGGTGTGGGTGGTGTTGCCTAGTCTTGGTGGTGGCAATGGGTTTTGATTGATTAATCTCTCTCCACCTCAATTACATATCACAAGTGCATTAACTTTCCCTAAACTTTGCCCCTTATCTTTTGCATTGGCAACCGCACACTCTAATTTTATTGCACAAAACAATTAACGGAGGTAATATATAAAGCTTAAACATTGGCTTAAGTGCAGTGATGTACAATATCATTTATGTGAATGGTGCAAAAAACAAACTAAGCAACTCGATCAAACAACAAAAACAATACAAACACAAAAAAGGAATATACTTTTTTCATATCATTTCATCATACCGGCATGGTTGTAAACTCGTGGTAAATGTTATTTTGTTATTTTGGTTTAGTTTTAGTCATGTAGAGTTTGTCTTAGAATTTCAATTAATTTTGCATGCCCACCCTTTTCCCCATTTGAACTTCCATAGCTCATAATAAATTAGTTGCATATGCTCTTAGCTTTGTCTCTATGTTACAATACTACCCCTTAATTTGTTGTGTCTTTACTTTTCGATTATACTTAGTGTAAGGAATATGCTTTGAATCGATAGCCTTGAGTTAGGAGCTAGCTTAGGAGTCGAAAACTAGGAAGAAATAGAGAAAGACATGCCCATGCCTTAGGGAGGCATGGACGTGCCTCAACGAAGAAAAGGTTAAGATCGTTTAGGCACGTTGTGCCTATACCGCCCGTGCCTGAGCAAGTCGTCGAGTATGTTCGTTGAGGCACGCCCTTGCTTAAGGGAGGCACGCCGGTGCCTCAGCAGATTTCGACTATTATGAAGTTTCTGGACTTGAGGCACGCCCATGCCTAAGGGAGGCAGGCCCGTGCTTCAGTAGTTTTGGTCGAATTAGGTTTCTTCATTCGTCCGTGGGCTTTATTTACTTAAATAAAGTTATCTTTTCTATTGTATGGGTTATTATAAATACTCTTGGGTTGTTTCCTAGCCATATACAAGCATTGATCATTTGTTGAGTGATTATTCAGAAATCTAAGAGTCTTTTGTGTATTTCTCATCCGAGAGATATAACATTAGAAATTCGAAAGACAATCAATCTGTTTCTGTGATTGGTCTCAAATCTGTTTTGAATCTGTAATCTATTTTCCCCAAGATCAATAAAACTAGTATTCTCGCATGCCCGTGGACGTAGCCAACGCATTGTTGGTAAACCACATAAATCTGTGGTTTTTTTTTTTTTTTGTTAATTTTACATTCAATATTTGTTCTTGATTTTTTGCATCCATTATAACAAATTGGTATCCAAAGCTTTGGTTTAGGGCCTAGGGTTTAATTATGGTGAGGAAGATGGCTGCTTTGACTGTGAAAATCGACAAATTCACGAGGAGGAATAGTTTTAGTTTGTGGCAGAGCAAGATGTGGGCTTTGTTGAGGCAACAAGGGCTATGGGCGCCGTTGAATAAGAAGTCATCGGATCTGGTAACCGCTAGGATGGCAATCTTGGAGGAGAAGGCACACTCAACATCCATATTGTGCCTGGAAGACGATGTTATCACTGAGGTCGCGGAGGAGGAAACCGCATCGGGTCTATCGTTGAAGCTGGAGATTCGGAGGATAAACCACGTAAATCTGTGTGTTTTCTTGTTTATTTCACATTCAATATTTGTTCTTACTTGCATCCGTTATAACACTTAGTTACTTAATCCGTAATTGTAAAAAAGGGAAAAAACAAAAAAAAAAAAAAACATAAGCTATCTATCTAATAAATGAACATACATATCATTAAGATCATTTTTTGTGATTTGATCATCCTCATCGAAAGGGTCTTCAATTCATGGCAATGGTCATTTTCTTCATCCATACTACATAGCATGATCCATGTAGAATTCAACACATCTTCTTCCACCCCCATCTTTCACTTTCACTTCAAGAAGAAGGTGTGATTCAATTTTTTTTTTTTTTTTGGTGCAAATGTGTAATGCATGACCTGCACTTAATTGCATAAGCTCCTCCTCCTCTATGACTTGGGCAACTAGAGGCTTAACTTGTTGCATAGGCTCTAGAGTAGCTTCCACATTAAACCTTGGCCCCCCAACTTTTTGGCCCAAGATCCGCAACCGTATGCTTCGTTATTTCAGGAGTATTTAGCTCATCTTAACTGATCTCTTCATTTGTATTACTCGAAGTAGGTATCAATGTATCATATAGATGTGAGCCAGTTCATAGGCTTGGCTTGGGTCAGCCAACTCAAATGATTCACAAATAATTTAATTATCCCTCGATTTCATTATCAAAGAAACTAGCGGATATTTATGGCAATGGACCAACTCAACCAAAGGCTGATGGTTGGAGTCCCGGAAATGATTTTATACTCTTATCAGTTTATCACCTGCTAGCAAAGGCACAACAAAAAAGAACAGGAAAAGTAAGGAGTAATAATGTGCTATGATTAGCATTACAACAGATCAACATATTCATCTCACTGAACTCTATAACAGATAACACACTTCTCCTGAAATTCATTATTTACCAGCCAAACCACAATGTAGAAGTGATATTTGACTCTAATGTTCACAGCCTAACTTCAGAAACTTGACCATGTAAATGAAATGTTACACAATAAACATACACCCAAATCTTTGTTTTTTTTTTTTTAGTTAGTTAGATTTTACTGCAGCAATCGCGTGTTTCTGCTTTCCGGCAGCCCTATAAACAATTCGGTCTCTACATCTTGCGCGCTGTTCTGCTGATCATCTGCTGTTTGCCGGCTACGTTGCGAATCCGGTGAAGATACGTGAAGCTGTTGAAAAATATCGTGTAGGTACGTAAAAGTTAAACATTAACTCACCAAAATTTACATCAAAAATTCAAAATTATATACAAGACAATTGATTACAAATTTGCTATATTACAAGTTTTTCTAGTACAGTTGAAGAAAGCGACAATCATATTGCTAGGAAGCGTATCTGATGCTGAGTAAAACCACTTGTTTAGTTTGAAAACACGTGTTTTTACTGAACAAATTCCGGATTCTCCCTATTATAGAACCTCCTTTAAATCCATTGCTAGGTCATATTTCTTTTTTGGGACGTTTTAAATAAAGGGACTGGTATTTCTTTTTTGGGACGCCTTTAAATAAAGAGATGGGTCACTTTTTAATTTAGTTATTGGTCAAAAATCAAACGTTATGTTTTTCATAAAAACTTCTGACAAAGAATTACAATGAAGATTATGATATATTGTACAAGTATTAACTTATCAGCTCTTTAATAATAACCTCGATCAAAAGATGACCTATTTTTAAGAGACGGATGTAGCATTACCAATTTTTATAAAGAATGATACTCAAAAAGATGGGATTGGCGAACTGAAAGAAATTACCTTCTCTTTTAGGCGGGCATTCTCTTTGAGCAAGAGCTTCTCCTACGAGATACAGAATATAGAACACAGAAAATAAGCACGAATTATCATCTAAGTACAGAACAACGTAACTGTTGATAAGTATATTAGGTGACTCGTACTTCGTAGCTTTGTCCGCCCGATCGGGCGGACATTGCCCGGTCTGACCGGGCGGAAGAAGAAGAGGTGCCTGGCAAATTCGTTGAAGAAGCTGCTCTCGCGCCCGACCGGGCGAGCCTTCGCCCGACCGGGCGAGCCTTCGCCCGATCGGGCAGACCTTGCCCGGTCTGACCGGGCGGTGGGGGTTGGATACGTTGAAGCATTCGTATGGAGTTTTCTTCTCGCGCCCGATCGGGCAGACCTTGCCCGGTCTGACCGGGCGGAGAAGGAAAAATGCGGAGACGCGGATTTTACGATTTAAAGTTATCTTTTATGTTATCTTTTTGCCCAAGTATCTTTTATTTTAGGGATTAATATAAAACCTCCCTAATATCAGTATTAGGGTCAAAAGAGAGACAGAGTGAGAGCCGTTCTTGAGAAATACAAGAATCATCTTTGTAATCTTTGCAGTTTATAGTGAAATCATTCGATCTCGGTGCCCGTGGACGTAGCTATCACATCGATAGTGAACCACGTAAATTCTTGGTGTTGTTCTTATTGTTTGCATTGAATTTCTTTATTGTTTTCTTGTTTGTTTTCGACCTTTGCTTCCGCTGTCGCACAACAATTGGTATCAAGAGCTCAGGTTCAATCCTTGGAGAGTTTCTTGAAGATAACAATGGCAGGAGATTCAACAATAAGAATTGAGAAGTTTACCGGGAAAAATAGTTTCGGGCTATGGCAAATTAAGATGAAGGCTCTGTTAAAACAACAGCAGATATGGCGTCCGTTGGCTCCAAAGAGTACTACTTCGGAGTCAGGAGACGGACCGACTGACTCGCAGTTAGAAGTTATGGAAGAGAAGGCACACTCTACCATATTACTTAGTCTTGATGATCAAATCATCACGGAGGTTGCTGATCAGGAAACGGCGGCTGGATTGTGGCTGAAGCTGGAGTCATTGTATATGACTAAGTCGTTGACCAACAAATTATTACTGAAACAGCGGTTGTTTAGCCTCCGGATGCAGTCAGGTACTTCCTTACGGGAACATCTAGAAAAACTTAACTCTATTTTGCTTGATTTACGTAATTTAGATGTTAAAATTGATGATGAGGATGCTGCGTTGATTTTACTTGTATCTCTACCGTCTAGCTTTGAGAATTTTGTAGAGTCTTTTGTTGTTGGTAAGGATTCTATAACCTTAGAAGAAGTGAAGGCAGCACTTCATACTAGGGAACTCAGAATGAAAGCTACGAGTGATAATGGGGATAATGGTAGTGGGTTATTTGTTAAGTCCGGAAAGTCTAAAAAGAATAAGGGGTTTAACAAGGGGAACAATGCTGGGTCGGGTGCTGGAAACGGCAAGGATGGATCTAGTAAAACTACTACTAAAACATGTTATTACTGTAAAGAACCGGGTCACTTTAGGAATAATTGTCCGGTGAGGAAAAACAAGTCCCAGGCTGCTGTAGTTGAAGAGAAACCGAATGAGAGCTATAATTCAGAGGAAGATTTAGCATTAGTCAGTTCTGCTAGGTCTGATGATTTATCTGATAACTGGGTTCTAGATTCGGGGTGTTCGTTCCATATGTGTCCACGTCGAGATTGGTTTGATACATATGAACCTCGCAATGGGGGTATGGTTATAGTCGGTAACAATGCTCCATGTAAGGTCACAGGTATTGGTTCCATGAGGTTGAGGACTGTTGATGGGCGGAGGTTAACTTTGACTAATGTACGGCATGTTCCTGCTTTAGGAAAGAATCTGATTTCATTGGGTACCCTGGATGACTTGGGGTACAATGGTGTGTTTTCAGATGGGGAGTTGTGTATTTTCAGAGGTTCTGAGTTGGTACTTAAGGGTATCAAAAGGAACACCCTCTATGTTTTTGAGGGTGTTACACTGCCTAGTTCTGCGGTTTGCGCATCTGTATCTCACCAGGAGATGACTAAGATTTGGCACATGAGGCTTGGTCATATGGGGGAGAAGGGGATGCAGCTATTGTCCAAGAGGGGTCTTCTATCCGGGGTCAAGGTTGCCAACCTTGAATTTTGTGAGCCTTGTGTGTTTGGTAAGAAACACAGGTCAAAGTTCAGCAAGGGTGCTCACATTACTGATGCAGTGCTCGATTACATCCATTCAGATTGCTGGGGTCCATCTAGAGTTGAAGGTATGGGAGGTTACCACTATTTTGTGTCATTTGTTGATGACAAGTCCCGATACACATGGCTTAGGTTGCTTAAGTCAAAGGATGAGGCCTTCAAAGTTTTCAAGCAATGGAAAGCTTTGGTGGAAAATCGACAAGGAAGGAAGATCAAGAAGCTACGAACGGACAATGGGCTAGAGTTTTGCAAAGACGAGTTTAATCAGTTCTGTGCAGATGAGGGTATAGGTCGGCATCATACTGTCAGGAAGACACCACAGCAGAACGGTGTAGCAGAACGGGTTAATCAGACACTGCTAGAGAGAGTTCGATGCATGCTCTCTAATGCAGGGCTTGGGAGGAGGTACTGGAGTGAAGCTGTGTTAACAGCTTGTTATGTCATTAATAGGGGTCCTCATTCTGGAATTGATTCCAAAATTCCGTTTGAGATCTGGAGTGGTAAGTTGCCTAATTTTTCGAATTTGAAGATTTTTGGTTGTGTTGCTTATTATCATGTTATTGAGGGTAAGCTGGATCCACGAGCCAAGAAGGGGTGTTTTGTTGGGTACGGGGATGGTGTGAAGGGGTTTAGAATTTTTTCACCTTCGGAGGGTCGGGTCATTCTTAGTAGGGATGTTACTTTCGATGAAAACACCATGTATTCAATTAAAAATGCAGAGATTTCAGATTTGAGAAGGGAAGGAGACAATTTATTACAGACAGATGGGGTACTTGAGGTACATCAGTCTACCATTGCTGATTTACCTCGGGTACAATATATTGATGATGATGCTGATGTTCCAGTGCCGGGTACTCCTGAACCTGAGATTACTCCTACTCATTCTAACTCTGGGGATGAGGTGGAGCAATCTAATCAGGGGTCATCTAGTCAACCTGACACCATTCTTGAGATGCCTAAACGAGTTATCAAGAAGCCTGTTAGATTGATTGAAGAGATGGAGGGAAGAAATTGCTGTGTTGATGCGATGACAGGTTATGCATTGAGTGTAGCTGATGATGTAGAGTCATTTGAACCTGCCACATATAAACAAGCAATTAGTTGTAGTGAGTCTGCGCAATGGCTTGCCGCAATGGGTGAAGAGATGCAGTCTCTTTACAAGAACAGAGTGTGGGAACTGGTAAAGGTACCGGAAGGGAGGAAGCTTGTGGGTTGTAAATGGATTTACAAGAAGAAAGAAGGGTTGTCGGAAACTGAGCAAATACGTTTTAAGGCTAGGCTAGTTGCTAAGGGGTTCAGTCAGGTAGAAGGGGTTGACTTTGTTGAGATATTCTCACCTGTGGTTCGACATACTTCTATCCGTGTGTTATTGTCAATTGTAGCACATTTTGATCTTGAGCTGGAGCAGTTGGATGTTAAAACGGCTTTCCTTCATGGCGATTTGGAGGAGGAGATTCTGATGAAGCAGCCCGAAGGATTCGAAGTTCCTGGAAAGGAACACTATGCCTGCAGATTGCTAAAGTCATTGTATGGACTTAAGCAATCCCCCCGACAGTGGTACAAAAGGTTTGATTCTTTTATGGTTTCACAAGGTTTTGACAGGAATTCATATGATTGCTGTGTGTATCATAGTAAGCTGGATAATGGTTCCATGATTTATCTTTTGTTATATGTTGATGACATGTTGGTTGCCACAAAGAATAAATCTGATATTGCTAGATTAAAGGAGATGCTTAACTCGGAGTTTGACATGAAAGACTTGGGTGCAGCTAGGAAGATTTTGGGTATGGAGATCTACAGGGATCGGGCTAGAGGTAAGCTTTTCTTGACTCAGAAAAGCTACATTGAAAAGATTTTGTCTCGTTTTGGGATGGAAAAATCGAAGCCTATAAGTACGCCAACTACTGTTAGTTGTAAGTTGTCTTTGTCTATGTCACCTCAATCAGAGGAGGAGTTGTCTTATATGTCTAGAGTTCCATATGCAAACGCGGTTGGTTGTTTGATGTATGCTATGGTCTGTACTAGGCCGGATATTGCGCATGCTGTTAGTGTTGTAAGCAGGTTTATGGCTCAACCTGGGAGGGAACACTGGCAAGGGGTGAAAAGGATTTTTCGCTACCTGAGAGGGACAACTGATATTGGTCTTGTGTACGGGAATGGTAGGGAATGCTTGGTCACTGGGTACAGTGATTCTGATTATGCAGCTGATGTGGATACCAGGAGGTCTGTGACTGGTTATGTGTTCACTTTGGGTGGTTCTGTGGTTAGTTGGAAGTCTACATTGCAGTCATCAGTTACGTTGTCAACTACTGAAGCTGAGTATATGGCTTTAACTTCTGCAGCTAAGGAGTCTATTTGGCTCAAAGGCCTAGTAGGTGAACTGGGTATTGCACAGGATTTTGCTACAGTGTATTGTGATAGTCTAAGTGCGATTTGCTTAGCTAAAGATCAAGTACACCATGATCGGACGAAGCACATTGATGTCAGGTATCATTTCTTGCGTACTGACAAGAGGATTAAGGTGAAGAAGATTGGGACTGCTGACAACCCGGCTGATTTCTCCACTAAGCCTGTTCCGTTTAGCAAGTTTAAACATTGCTTAGACTTGCTAAATATTGATTACTACGTGATGTAGTAGGCCCTGAGGGGCGAAGTTGGGGAGCTCCTGGTGTAGGTGTGTTGGCATTAAGGTGGAGCTTGCCCGGGGCTTGTGATGCAGGTGGAGCATTATGAGTTGTTATACTTGGAGACGAGTATGTGATGGGTCTTGGTTGAAGACTTATCGGGATGTATGGCTTATGCATGAGTCCTGCATCGGGTTTGGCTTGAGATGTTTTTTCACTATGTCTTGATGGGGTCGTTTGCTGACTACGAGTTCTCGTCAAGGTGGAGATTGTTGATAAGTATATTAGGTGACTCGTACTTCGTAGCTTTGTCCGCCCGATCGGGCGGACATTGCCCGGTCTGACCGGGCGGAAGAAGAAGAGGTGCCTGGCAAATTCGTTGAAGAAGCTGCTCTCGCGCCCGACCGGGCGAGCCTTCGCCCGACCGGGCGAGCCTTCGCCCGATCGGGCAGACCTTGCCCGGTCTGACCGGGCGGTGGGGGTTGGATACGTTGAAGCATTCGTATGGAGTTTTCTTCTCGCGCCCGATCGGGCAGACCTTGCCCGGTCTGACCGGGCGGAGAAGGAAAAATGCGGAGACGCGGATTTTACGATTTAAAGTTATCTTTTATGTTATCTTTTTGCCCAAGTATCTTTTATTTTAGGGATTAATATAAAACCTCCCTAATATCAGTATTAGGGTCAAAAGAGAGACAGAGTGAGAGCCGTTCTTGAGAAATACAAGAATCATCTTTGTAATCTTTGCAGTTTATAGTGAAATCATTCGATCTCGGTGCCCGTGGACGTAGCTATCACATCGATAGTGAACCACGTAAATTCTTGGTGTTGTTCTTATTGTTTGCATTGAATTTCTTTATTGTTTTCTTGTTTGTTTTCGACCTTTGCTTCCGCTGTCGCACAACAGTAACCCAAAACAGACATTAAATATATGTTCATTCAAAGTAGATGAAGCACTTAATTTATATCCCTAAACCCTTGGAAAAACCTCAAACCAAACATGCATTGATGTATAATGTAATGTATAGAATGAAGTCAACATGTGATACTGCTTTAAATATTGGTTTTAAAGCTTACCTCTTCATACAACTTGTCAATCTTCTCTCTGAACAACGCATTCTGAGAAAATACATACAGCAGTAAATTGGTTAAACCGACGTAACATTTTTTAAGAAGAAAAGAACTACTTCACCGAATTGAACCTCACATGAGTCAACCTAGATCAATTTAACGAGTTAGTTTGAGAGTGCCCAGAGTGGAGAAGGGTAAGTACATGATCCCCACATCCAAAATGTCCCTAGTAAAGATTGAAGCCTTGAGTACAAGGTTGGAAAATACATTCGATACCATTAAGCCAAGCTTAGGTGTTGATTTTCCTATTAATATACGAAGTATCTTAAATGAACGTGTTATTAAGGATAATAACGAAATTTACATTTAATTTACTAAATTTAGGAAGTGGCATAATATTTTCGACCAACCCAAAATAGATATGGAGGCGATTGATTAGGTATTTAGGTGCGGAGGGAGGGAGTAATAGGTAACCTCAAATACTTAAGATGACATATATATATACCTTTTTTGCTCTGATATTGGAAAGACTTTTATCTAGCTGTTTCTCAAGCTCTTGAAGCTCATCAATGGAACACGCCTCAAGACCATCACCTAGTAACTTCCTACATACAAACCAAAAAAGATATGAGCTCATCCTTGCATATTTATTATAGAATTAGAATAATAGAACATTATCAAAATGATTAGTTGAAATATATATAATTGGATTGCAAACCGTTTAGAAATTTCAAGGCTCTTTAACTTCTTCTCGAGTTCATGAGCATCTTCCTTGAATTGCTGCATGAAAAATGTGGTTGATGTAAGTTGTAAAAAGCTGATGCAAGCAGATTTGGAATATACAATGACATTACTTGACGAATTTGAAGACTGTTATATGTTCACAGATGTTTAGCTGTGGTTATCAAATTCACTCCTAGTTTCAAACGTCTGGCCAATAAATTCACAATCCGGGATACTTTGTCAACACACCGTACATGGACGTTTGATGGTTCGCACCTGTCATAAATTGCCTCTTTCACCCATTTAAAGTTACATACATAGTTGCTGGAAAATGTAGGTTAGTGATCTTGGTTAGCATTAATGAACGTTTTGTGAATACATTCATTATTGGAGTATAAATTTTTTATTATTGTTTTAGATTTGGGTATATATATTGTTGATTTACAGATGTAAAATACAAAATGGAGTGTATTTTCTTGCACACAGGGTCCAATGTGGTGCAACATAACCTAATCGTAGACTCTTGGACCATGGACCCAAAAAAAAAAAAAAAAAAAAAAAAAAAAAAAAAAAAAAAAAAAAATCTTACCAGCATGTTTCTGTCTGACGACACCTTACTCTTCACTCCACGCAGCTCCTTCATATGTTTTTGGTATCGATCGATGGTCCTGGTTGCACTGCAACACCTCCAAGCCAAGAACATGTTACAATTGGCTATCACATGTAATCATAGCGACAATATAGCCAATGATTAAATAAAAAATAGCTGAACATCCCATCCAAAAAAAATTTGCTGAACATAATTCAAGCATATTTTTTAAGATTAATCACATCGATGCATCCAACATTAACTAAGATTACAGTAAAATTAGACTCAAGGAAAGCTACGAATTTTGATAGTAACCATCCAAATAATTCAAATTCCAAAATTATCATTAGGTTTTTAAGTCAGCAAGTTAGGCATGTCATTAATCATCATTGTTGCGATATGAGGTCTCAATAAAATAAGAACAGCATCAAAAGATAATTTCCTAGGGTCATGCAAGGGCAAGGGCAAGGGCAAAACATTATCAATGTTTATGCACATGTCATAGATCAAATTCAATACATAGTAAAATTCTTACTTCGTATATAGTACTCATATTGAATAGGTTATGTTTGGCAAACACTAGAAAGGAGTTGAAACTAATAAGCTAAAACTAAGGTAGCAGCTGGAACTATAAAGTAGTTCAAACTAATATTAATTCGTAGTACATCCATTTATGGCCTCATTACTGAATAGGTTGTTGGTTTCACATATCAAAAGACTGCTTCTCGAATTATAGTCATATACTTCCTTGGTTTCACAATCACCTACTATCCAATATCCATGCTATCCAATGAGAATTGTAGCTCGAAGTGCCAATTTAGGTAGATGCAAGTTTTGGTAAAACGAGGCAATTAAGTGATGCTAGCATGTTTGTTTGTTTGGATAACAAACAACGTTTGAGGGAAGAGGAGAAGAGAAAGAGAGGGAAGGAATCGAAGGGGAGGATATGAGTATGACTAATTGTACCTCCCAATCCCAAATATTACCACTATTAGGAGAGGAAGGATAATAGATTGCTCTTCCAATTTCCTTCCAATCCTCAACATTCCATATCCAAATGAGCATTGAAGCAATAGAATTCATCACTACTTCCTTCTCTTTTTCTCTACAAAAACAGTATAAAAGTTAAGTTCAATTCAAAGCATCCCTCAAGCTAGTAGCCCAAGCTCGAAGATACATATATATTCACAGATGAAATGACCCAAAGGATTAAACCAACAGAATGATGCCTTACACACCAATGAATAACCCAAAATGCTCAAACAACTCTAAAAAAGCAAGCAACACCTTTAATGCTAAACAATCCCATAAGTCAACTTGACAACTCCCGAAAGATAGCATCTCATACACCAAAATGTAACAGATTCCCAAAGCTTAATGTACACGTACACATGAAGCTTATTTAGCCATAACCATCTCGATCATATGCCTAGTATAGGCATCTACCAATCGCCATGTACCCTTAACAAACACAATTCTATCTTTCACACGACATATATAAGCTAGGTGAGGAGTTCTAACCACCCAATTTCAGTCTACTTCACATATAATAGCAACAAATTAATACATGTAATATCACACTAACCATTCAATTTCAGTCTACTTGTATTCACATATAAATTGATATAGTTTCTTGCAAGACAATTGATTTGCAATTGCTACTTACAATGCAAAGCCAAAACAGACAAGTAATGCTACATGTTTAACTGTTTAAGGCTTGGACAATATATAATGTCTTATGTTATCCAGTACAAGTGTAATATTAATATAAAGAGCATTTTTTGAGACAACTCCCACAAGTACTAAGTTAGGACATGTTTAACATACAACATTTAGCATGTTGATAAATGAAAAATTGTTTCGTAGACATATGTTAATACGCAAATATGAAATTTGTAATTCCGTAAGCAAATATGTAAGAAAAAACACCATTGTAAAACGTAAAGCACTTCAACAAGCAAACAGATAAGATATCACATGAATTCACATTTTCCACAAATAGATCCTACATTAACTTTGGTGTTGTAAAGCAAGAACCACAAATAGATGTTCATCCCCATATGATATAAACCATTTTTAACAAAGACTAAGAAACCTTTCCATTTAAACAAATTTAAAGGTTATCTTAATTAGACTTAATAAACACATCCCAAAATAGAAAGTACAAAAGACAGCTTTAGAATTGACATTACATTTCCAAGACATTTGTTTCAATAAATAGCAAGCGCAATTAATGCAAAGTTTTTATTAATGAACACCAAATTAGCCACTCAATTGCAACATGGAATAACATACAAGTACATTGCCTAAAATGAATTGAACCACATAAGCAAAAATATAAAGCATAACTATATATCGCCAAAAATTTAAAGTCATAATTAACACTATTTATTTACTGACACATATATAAGAAGAAAAAAAGGATTAACATTACATCATTTCCCACATCTCCAAAAAAAGAAAAATAAAAAAATAAAAGAAGATGACATATATAGTTAGTACTCCGTACTATACTACGAAGTATCTGATAATAATGTCCCACTGTATCTGTAATTGTATTTGATTACTAACTGTGGTAATACTGTATATTTCAGCAATATACCATAAAGGACCACCTTCAGTAGATCACCAAAGATTCTTCCATTAATTATAATTTTTTTTAATTATATTTTTACAATTTTTTTGGGGAGATGGTGATTGATGATGCATGAATTCTTAAACCTCTTAACATAAAGATCAATGCAATCTCCAAGAAATTTTTTTATGATTTCTTTATTTTATTTAGTTTAATTAATTTTTTCAACATTGATTTCAAAACAAAATTTACTAGTATAAATTCCTTGTATATTACACCGCATGAGGTAAGTGTATGTTGCAATTAATCTAGAACAGATCAAATGGTGCGAATTTGAGAAAACGGCAACTAATGAAAGAATAAATTGAAGCATGTGTATGTTGCCCTGGAACGGAAGCAGTTTAAATTTGATAAATCCACGATTAATGATGGAATAAGTTGAAACATTAAAAAAAAAAAAAAAAAAAAAAAGAGAAAATTAGATGAATAAAACGCACCTTGAGCTAGCAAACTCGTAAAGTTTACCAGTAGGAGAGAAAATAATAAGTGCAACTTCAGCATCACAAAGAACAGAAAGCTCAAAAGCTTTTTTCAGCAAACCATTTCTTCTCTTTGAGAAAGTCACTTGTCTACTTGAATCATTCTCTATCCTCTTCATTTGAGTCTTTCCTCTCACCATCTTAATTAGCTAACTACTCAATCTCGAGACTTCAATTCAATTCAATTCGATTTAATTCGACTTGATCGACTACAATAGACCGGATCGGTATCGGTAAAGGTTAAAAATGAGAGAAGGAGAAAGGAAAAATAAAAACCCTAACCCAAATTTTTAATTTTTGTGGGATTGTGGGGAGAATAATGAAGAAACAAAGACACTACTGTTCCCTGTTTCTTCTACTACCACTTTATTTTATATTTATTTATATTTATTTTTTTCCTTTTATAACACAAAAATTAAATAAAAAGAGGGAAGGCCCAGGAAAGGGCAGAACCTCATCTCTTTCTTCTTTTGGTAATCTGAGAAAATAATAGGTAACCCAGAAAAAGCATATTTTTTTTAAAATAAAAACAAAAAAAAGGGGTTTTATTACTATATATTTATAAATTAATTATTAAAAAAAAAAAGCTGTGGAAAAAGAGAATATTGAGTACATCGGTGCAATATGGAGAGTCCTGATTGGTTGAGAAATATAAAATTGAGTGAAAAGAAAAAAATAAAAATAAAAAAGGTATTTTCGATGCATTATCAACCTGGTGCGACTCCAACAGTAGGTGACAACTGACGCGTGGAGGGAACTGGGTACATGGGTTCTATGATTTTTTTAATATTTTATCACATGGCCCTAGGGTATTGTTAGACCAATAGGAGTAATCTATTCCTAATCAATTTTTTTAATATACAATTATACAAAGTGTATAAAAAAATTATTTTGGCTAATACAATACACTTGTTGTTGTTTAGGCTTTGTCTATTCTAACGGAAAATACTCTCTAAGAAAATGAACTTTTTTACTTCATACTGCGGATTTTATATTGTTTGATGCTTTAATAGGGGGGATTTTTATTTTCGTTAAGAAATAAGTGTTAGGGTCACATATTTCTTCGTATTCCTAACAATCTAACATCTCTATCCTCTATTAATTCGTTACTACATATCGTCTTCTTCTCCACTTATTTTCCTAAGCTAAGTTTTTTTTTCCCTTCGTTAAATTGAGTTGAACTGAAAATAAGTTTAAAAGAACAGTATCAAATTCTCTCTCATTTTTCTTGTACGAAAATAATTCCATGAACATTGTTATGAATGAAAATTATTTTCCATCAAAACATACAAAGCATGATCCTTTGAGAAGAAAATAATGTGATTTTTTAGTGGAACAATTTTTTTAAAAAAAAAATAGTTTATGAATAATATTACATCTTAAAAGAAATAAATTATCAAAGGTAGTAATTTAGAATGATATGTGGTTCTAGTAATTTTATTAGCTTTATTTTATTACAAAAAAAAAAAAAAAAAAAAAAAACGGTTTTTTTTTTATTTTTATTGTTTGGCGAGCGTAAAGTATACGATGGTTTTATTTGTCAAGCATGGTTTCATACTTTCATATAGTCGTCAAAACCTTGAGAGGGGTTGAGAAAATAATTGGGTTTGGAAAAAATGTAGGGACTAATAAAATAAAGGTAGACTCTCTCGTTTACCTTGAAACAGCATACGACTAGCTAGTAGATAGGACTATAGGAGTCATAGCTATACGAGAGGGAAAGACCAGTTTTAGCATTATTTCTTGTATTATTACACTGCAAACAAGTTTTATGATACTGTTATTTGAAACTCTGAGGTGGTTTAAGATTTGGCTATCATTTTTTTTTTTTACTTATTTATTTATTTATTTATTTATTTATTTATTTATTTATTATTATTATTATTATTATTATTATTATTATTATTATTATTATGTTTGGATGTCAAGTAATTTAACGGATTAGTCTTGCGTGTAATAATTAAGGACTAATTAAGATCAAGTCTCGTCTATCACCTTTTGTGATTCTCTTTACGAACAAAATGAAAATATAATGGTAATTATAGTTTGCAAAAAAAAAAAAAAAAAAAAAAAAAAAAAAAAAAAAACTATATGATCATGATACAAATCTAAGAAAATTAAATTTTGTGCAAAAATACCCCTTTTTTTTTTTGTTTGTTTGTTTAACTACTCCATAGTTGATTAGAGTCATAATAAAAAGAGAACAAGAGAAAATACATTTTGAAAAAAATGATACTCCTTAATAAATTTTGTGCCCCTAAGTAATTAATTGTTACTATTCATTAAGTATTGCTCTTCTTACCTTAAAGATGCATGATTATTTTTCTTGCACACAAAGTACTAGTACTAATTAGAAATGCAAGTTTAATTTCAACTTAAGTAAAAAAAATATATATATACAAAGTATATATAATGTGGCTATGAGCTTCAAGACGGGTTCAATAAACAAACTACTCCTAATTTCAGATAAAACATAAAGTTTAAATAATTTACTTACGTGGTATCTAATTATCTATGATGTTGGTTTTTTTTTTTTTTTTTTTTGAGTGAAAACGTTAAGGAAATGTTCTTAAACGAACAAAGCCACGAAATAAGAATGGATATATACAATGTTTTTTGTTTTTTTTTTATTTATTTATTTATTTTTATTTTTTTGAGTGAAAATGTTAAGGAAATGTTCTTAAACAACATAGCCACAAAATAAGTATGGGAAATTTTTTCCAACCACTCCTCTATATTTGATTTGGAAATGGCAAAGACATTACTTAATTTGTACTTTGTCTATTATGTTGGATACTACTGTACTTAAATACAGATCAAAGCACTTAGAAAAGCATTCTGATCAACACTAATTAAACAAATGCAAAGTACAACATAACCATAAAAACAAATGTTTGGAAAATGATGCATATCACTCATTTGTATTTCCATAATTCCATCCCCCTTACCCATTACTGCTTTTTATTTGAACAAAAATAATAAGGGGATAAATATAATGAAATTAGCTTCACAAAAATAATTATTCTGACTAGTTTGTGTGAAATAATACAACCTAAATAATATATTCTGAACATGATCAACGCTAAATTATTTTTGGTAACATGTAATCAAATATTTCATTTTTAATCATTTAGTACCCTTGAAAACAAATTAGTTAGAAATCGATGGATGTACCATTCAAATGAAATTAATCCGATCATACTATTTTGCACCTACCAATAAACACTAACGAGTAATCAATTTAAAATAGAAAAAGGCAAAAATCATTTCTAATTGGAGAGGATTATACTATCTAAATCCAAATTTTAAAATAAAAAGAAGGTACTCCCAAAAGTCACATTTGTAATTGTAATTTACAGTGGGATGAAAAGGGATGGTGTTAATGAAAGTTTGAGTGAGTCAAAGAGTTGTATTACTGACAACCTATTGAAGCAGGTGAAGAGGTGAGAGAAAGAGAAAGGTTGGGATGTAAACAGGAGACAGTTCTGTCGGTTGCCGGTTTCGGATTGGCATTTTTTTTTTTTTTTTTTTTTCTGACTAGTTTCGGATTGGCATTTTAATGTGTTGCACGAAATTTACCATCAGAATATATACGAATCAGTAATCACTTCTCAGGTTAAAAAAATTTTGATCCTTCATGCTGATTGGCTAGTCCGTACATTGTGGGGCATTTGTCCGTACGATTTTATCAGATTTTGTCCAATCAGAGGGTGCCACCACATCTATTTCTTGCAGTTGTCACGTGGCTACTCCTTGTGTGACTCGGTCTGTGATGGCTTTTTCAGCTTTTCCAGATTTTCACTTTTTTTTTCACATGAAATTTTAACTTGGAAAAAAATTAAGTGGGCTAGATAAAGCTTTAGTCCTTCAGCCTTAGGAGGTGGATCCAAGTCATTCAACTAATGAGTATGTATACACTTCGTAAATTACTCTTATGGAGTAGTCTTATTGTAAGAAGTACTCCACTCTAATACCGAGTAATTTTTACTCTTTTCATTTTTAAATATTTACTCTATTTTTTCATGCGCAGAGTTTTAAGAGAAATTGGAGAAAATAATAAAATATGGTGTTGGTGGGGTGGGGTGGGCAGAAGAATAAAAATTGTAAAAAGCAAAAGTAATTGAGAGAATTGGAGGAGAGAAAATATAAAATTTAATAAAATATGATTTATGTTGAGTTCACTAGTTGGGAGAAATGAATTAAATATTGTAAAAGTTTTTCAAATAAGAAAATTGAGCAAGTATTTAAAAACGGCCGAAAATGGAAAGTGGAGCAAGTATTTAAAAACGGAGGGAGTATGTGTTACTCCCTCCTTTCATAATAATTGTAACACTTTAACTGACATACATGTAAATGCACAAATTTGATTATAAATATTAATATACAATGTTAATAGAATGAAAATATACATAAAAACTAATCCAAAAATATTTCACATGGCAACATATATTTTTTGATGTATTAGTAAAAAATATTGTCAAAGTAAGCTTTGAAAAGTGCAAAAGTCAAATTGTTACAATTATTACAAAACAAAAGGATGTACAAATAATCCCTTTTGTTGCAAAGAATAAGAAACGGGGGTAGTATCTCTAAATTCTCTAACTTCGGTAGTTGAAAAAATAAAGAACATTTGATAGAATAAGATTTATTAGACAAAAATATTCAAAACAAGCTAAACCAGGATGTTAATTACATTCGTCAATTCGTTCAGTAAGAGTACATACCCTTCTCACAATAAGGCATTGGCGAATGTGGTACATCCGGCTGAAATATTACTTAATTTCTTTTTGTATATCTGATATGTTTTTTTTTGTATATCACTTATGTTATTTCACGTGTTCTTTTTAAATATTACTTATGTTCAGTTTCACATATCTCTTATGTTCTTTGTTATATCCCTAATAATATTCTTTTGTTTTATCCCTTATGCTGTTCTTCTAAGTTTTGTTATTTTGTTAATTTTGTATGTGTTTTATCACCGATATTTTTTGAATTTAACCCTTATGTCCTTTGAATTTCGCTATTATGTTCTTTAAGGTATTGAGGAACGCATACCTTTTGTTTTAACATATATTCTTAAATTAGTTTTAGCGACATTTTTAATTATTATAATATTAAAATTGAATATTATTTATTAATTTTACACTTTCTTAAACATTAATTATCATTTAATAACTAATTATTTATTAATTGTATATTATTTTTTTGTTAATGATGATATTCTTTTGGGACCTCTTCAATTGATGGTTAATTTTCAAAACTAAAGAACATTCGTAATATTAATAATAAACATGATAATATTATATAATAAGCATTATTTTATATTTACCCACCATGATCCAAAGACAAAATTCAAAGAACATTTCACAACAATGAACATTATGTGACAATAAAAGTACAATATACTTACAATCAAAGAACATGGATATTTAAAAGTGAATTGCTATTTGCCACAATGGAATTACTCAAGCTATAGTATTAAATGACCTTCATGCCCCATTTAATTTTGAAAATAACATAATAATCCAACCATTACTAAGTACTAACTTTGTCCCACCTTGATCTTATTCAAGCCATGGCTCCACCTTGACCATCAGCTCCACTACTCATACCACCACTAATCTTGACTATCTACCACCACGACTCCACCTTAACAACCAACTTGACCGATTTCACGACGGTTGACCACCAACATTGTACTTTCCGACCACTAAAATGAGTCGACGACGGTCTGCGTTCATATAGGAGGCACTTGGTGGGGACGACGAACCTTCGACGCCGTCGAGTTAGGTATATGTCAGACTTTTTTTTTCAATTTCCGTTGTATCCGGTCGCATGTAATACGCGACTATACCATGGTATAGTCGCATGTAATATGCAACTA